GCATGTTTTAAGTCTGCCATCATCATTCCATTCTCAAAGAAGCTTCAGGTTACCTCACTCAATGAATACCGACATGTCGTACTGACGCCTATCGTGATGAAGTGCTTCAAAATGCTGGTTAAAGAACAAATCGTCTCCAGTCTGCCGGTAACATACGACTCATCCCAGTTCGCCTACTGACGAAACCGCTCCACTGAAGACGCCATCTCCTCTGTTTTTTACCTTAGCCTAGCACACCTGGAGGAGAAAAACACCCATGTGTGGATGCTGTTTTTGGCCTTCAGTTCAGCCTCCAACATCATCATCCCACAGCCTCTGATAGTGTACAGCTGAGCTAAATACACCCCTCTGCAATTGGCTGTTAGACTTCCTCACAAACAGACCTCAGTCAGTCCAGGTCGGACAGAACACCTCTGATGTTTTCACCAAATTCCTGTGGTTCACATCACAGACAACCTCACCTGAGCCGTAAAAACGTCCTCACTGGTCAAAAGAGCACAAAAGCGCATGTACTTCAGAAGCACCATAGATAGCATTCTGACCAGCTGTCTCAGTGTGTGGTGTGGAGGCTGCAGGCTGGAAGAAGGTGAGGAGAGTGGTGAGAACAGCAGACAAGATCATGAGGGCTACCCTTCTCTCCATTAAAGACATTTCATCCTAGCACTGCGTTTCCCAAGCCCATAACATCATCAATGACCCCTCACACCCCCACCATGTACTGTTCTCCCTGCTGCTCTCTGGGAAGAGGCTTCACAGCATTCGATGCAGGTCCAGCAGATAATGAAAGTGCTCCTCCCCCAATGCCATCAGACTGTAATGGATTAGGATGGACCCAAAGACAACCCGCAAACAGGTCAGTGAAACTTTAACAGTCTTTATTAAAGAGAAGGGCGGCATGGACCCCCGGAAACTGCGGTTCACGTTCAGCGACTGGCAGCTCGTGGCCACGGGAAGACTCGGTTGGGCACAGTCTGGTATCAGGAAAGGACGGAGTCCGTGCTGGGGTAATCCAGGGTTCTTAGTCCAGGTTCGGTCCGGGTCTTGACGAGGGGGAGGTCCTTTAATCCAGCTGAGGCATCCAAGGGAGAATCCAGGGGAGGTTCCAAGTCCAGATCCAGTTCCACAATCCAAAAAAGTACAGACAGTTTAAGGGGCAGGCAATCTCAGTTACTCACAGGCAGGCTCGGTCAGAAACACGGGTTGACAGTCCAGATAACTGAGGCTGACGAGCAGGGCTCAGGCAGGCAGACAAAAATCCAGAAAGGGGTCAGGCTGGCTCAAAAACAGGGACAAAAACAGGTCGAGGTTCAGACAGGCTGACGGACATTCAGAAAAGGCTGGAAGTTCACACCGTTTGGCTAGAGACGTTCTGGCACTGGAGGCTGGAAGGACGGAGCCTTTAAGCAGGTAAGGTGGAGTAGAACAGGTGCGCTGATTGCAATTAGCAGCTCCAGTGCCAGGAACATTACACAGACAGCTTAAGTTTTGAGAAAACTCTAAATCATATCACAGACTCTGCATCACACTGACAACACTAAATCAAAACCCTGCATAATTGCACCATATATATTTAATGCTCTGAACTTACATCTCAATTTGTGTTTTGTACCATCTTTTTTTTCTCCAAAACTGTAATGAAAGCTGTACAAAACAAAATTTCTTTTTGTGTACACTCGGTGCATACAAAATGACAATAAAAGTTGTCTAAGTCAAAGTCCTCATAGTGGCCCTCTGTGAACTCCTTGGGTTTGTCTGTATGCCCAGTGTTCTGGCCTCGCTAAGCACTGTGGCCTTCAGCAGTAACTCAGCTATACAGGTAGCTAAACACTTTCCCATTCGTCCACCAAGAAGCACTGCATTAGGTTCTTTAGCAGGATTTAATGAGAATCGTGTAAAACTGTAACACACAAAGATACAGAAAATGAATGCCAGCTAAGCTAACATTGGGCTAACACAAGTAAAAATGTCTATCTTCACATAAAACATGTCAACGGGTTATGAATTATGATTTATATGACAGGCAAATTAGAACAGTACTTACAGACGATGCCGTTTTGCACTTAGATTAAAGAAAACCTAACAAAAACTGCTTCTTTCAGAGCAGATGGATGAACAGGCTTTCTTCCTTTCTGGTAAACAAGTTGTAGTAAGAAAAGTGACCACAAGATAGCGTTTGTGAACTAGAAATACACACAATTATAACATTTGCCACTAGGTGGCCTCAGTAGATGAACTAAACATTGAATAACATTTAGTTAAACAAGTTCCATTACACCCAGAAACATGCTAAATTTGAGGGAGCATTGCTGATGTATGAACATTGTTCATAGCCGATGTCGAATGTGAAAAAATATGCATTTCCGCTCTTCTGACTTTACCAAGGTTTTCAGGAACAAAACATCTTGGTATCTGAACTTTTAGGAGATTGTCCCATTCTCTGAGCCAAGATTCACATTTTGTCTTAATGCAGGTGGAATAGACTCATTCCCTCCAACATCACGTTTGCACATTGCACAACCCACGCATGCTTAGGGAGAACATGCAAACTGCAAAATCGTATAGAAATGGTCTATAAATTGATTCATGTCACTATCTGAAGGGCTTATAGTTGATGAGTGTAGAGCTCTATAAAAGTCTCTGAAACAGCTGTTCATACCATCCCAATCATATACAGTGTCCCTGTTGAGTCTATAACAGCAGAAAAAATGGTTTGTTGATGCACAGGTTCTTATTCATCCTGATCCTTTGGTCCAATTTATTGTGGAAGTTGACGCTTTTGATGTCAGCGTAGGAGCCATGCACTTAAAGATCCTTAGCTGATAACAAATTTCAACCCTCCGCCTTCTTCTCTAAGAAATTCACACCTAATGAAGCACATTACAACATTAGATATTGAGAGCTTTTAGCGATCAAACTCGCTCACGAAGAGTGGAGCCATTGGCTTGAAGGTAATGAGCTCCCTGTCATCATTTGGACAGACTACAAGAATCTGAGCTACATCCAGACAGCTAAACGCCCATATCCACGGCAACTTCGCTGGTCTCTTTTTTTCTCCAAGTTCAGTCTCACGATCACCAATCGCCCAGGTTCCAAGAGCACCAAGCGCGATGCTCTTCCCAGTCATGCTCCTGATGATGACCCAGAATCCACAGTCACTATTGCCACTGTCAAAGTAAACTTCGTCTTAAGTGGTGAGAAGTTTACATTTTTTTATTTAGTTTTCAGGAGAGAGTGTTCATGACATCTTTTACATAAAAACAAGGTAACAAATGTAAAAACAAAATGACCATTAAACACATGACAGCAATTGAGTTAATATTTGCACAGCATGACATTGAACAAATAAAGATAATTCACAGAGATTACTTTTTTAAAGTGCAAGATTAAGTTTAAGGTCAGTTCTAAAACAGTTTACTCCAAGGAGCACCCTATTCACCATTCTATTTTTGAAAATATGATATCAGGGAAAATATTACTGAGATCTTCAAGAAACATATTAATTTACTCAGTGCTTTAATGGTGAAAATTAAAACTAAATATCTAACATGGAAGATATAGGTTTTAAAGATTAAGTGGTATTTAGGTTAGGGATTTTAAACAAAACACATGACATAACTTCCAGTCAAAGCAAAAGACCTTTGATACAGTCAATTATAGAATATTTATAGAAACATATAATGTCTATTTTCTTCTATTGTATTTAAATTTTAACCTCAGTTTTAAAGTCCATTTATTAATGGTAGCCTGCAGCGAGTTAACTGAAAATGTTGCAACAAACCAAATGTCCACGTCAGCTCTGGGTACTGTAAACCTGTCTCCAAAATAGATTAAGGAAAAACTGCTAGCCTCTCACCTTAACTTTAGGGCGACAACATAGATAATACAGCAGAACAGGTCTGATGGTCTGATCTCTGAGCCCATAGTTGAGAGAGCTCAAACATCTCAGAAAGATTATGAAAATAATATAAGAAAAATTCCTAACCCATGAAAATGCATTTGTTTTTAAAATTTTGGAAAGAGCAATGATGAGTGGGTTATTAATGGTTGAGGAAAGGCTCAGGCCAAGTTGAACCAGATTCAGCAGCAGGGTGTAACAAGCCTTACGAGCTAAAGCTTTATCTGTGGAGGCCGACCTGGCTGCTTGTTCTCTATAAGCTTTAAGGCTGAAACTGATAGCAGCTCTATGAAACAGGTAAAAATTAATGTAAACTTGTAAAAATTAGACCAGAAATAATGTTCAAACTTCTACAAATTGGATATGCAAAAATTAGAGACTGAGGCCTGATTAAAAAACTGATACCAAATAACTTCAAGTGATGATAATATGTACTAATGCTACATTCAATTGTACAATTAATCATTGTTTTATTTATAAACCCCATTACTGATTTCCAAAATGTTGAAGCAAAGTCAATTCTGCAAATTTGGGATGTGAGAAACATTTTTATTTAGCTTTCAAAAGGGAATGTTAAACACACCTTTTACACAAATGAGCTATAATAAAAACAAAATACGCATCAAAAGTGCTACCCCATCTGCCTAAAAAATTATGTACTATTCTTTGGGACATTTCATTGGGACCTCCTAACCTTTGCATCCTCTCCCTGAATTTTATTTCATTTATCTTAGGTCGCATTCATTTGGTTTCAAAACATTTTATAGGAATGTTTGGAAGTATTAAACCAAGACTCATCTTTTCTTCAGAGCTTTCAAGATATATTTTTTATTTGTTAACATTTAAATAAAAACAAAACACAAATATTCTAGTCTATATACAAAGACAATAATATATGTAAAAGATTTGGTAGTTGATATATATCCCAGAGATGTAGAACTGGCTTAAATGTTTAAGCTTCTAAAAAAGTGAAACTTAAATTAGTCCTGACACAAAATATAGTGAGTAAACGGTACTGGTTGTTATTTGGCCTCTATAAACCAATTGTCTAAGATTATTTTACACACTTTAAACTCATTCTTAAAAAAGAAAAAGGAAAAAACTGCTAGGCTTTGATTTTAGGGCGACAACATAGATAATACAGCAGAACAGGCCTGATGGTCTGATCTCTGAGCCCATAGATTAGAGAGCTCAAACATCTGGGGAAAATTATTAAACAAACATAAAATACATTCTGAATCCATAAAAATGCTACTCTTGTTAAAACTTTAGAAAGAGCAATGAGGAGTGGGTTATTAATGGTTGAGGAAAGACTCAGGCCAAGTTGAACCAGATTCAGCAGCAGGGTGTAACGGGCCTTACGAGCTAAAGCTTTATCTGTGGAGGCTGATCTGGCTGCTATAATGACACCAACATAGGAGAAAGTTGCAGCAACACCAGCTGAGACAAACACAGCACAAGTATAGGCTCTGTCATATTCAGCAGTTAGAGCACCAAGAACCAAGGCTATGTTAGAACAAAGATCCTTTATCTGCCAAATCTCCATTTTTTCTGATGAAAACTCTAAAAATAAGAAAACACGAGTGAGATTGTTTACTGAGCTGACAGCCCAGATTACAATGATTACTGCGGTTGTGTTTCTGATGGTGACGATAGAGGAGTGCCTCAGTGGGAAGCACACAGCCACATATCTCTCTAAAGGCATTACCACCAGTGTTAGCGGAGAAATCCCAGTTGTGAGATTGGCAAGCATACTAAGAACAATGCACAGCGAATACACCAGTTTCACTCTGCAAACAGACAGTAAGAACTGCACCTGACTCTGTGCCAACTGGAAAGTGTCTGCTAGAAGGAGGTTGTACAGAAGAATGTACCGACATGTGTCACGAAACACAGGTTTACTCCTCAGAGTGAAAAGAATGGTCCCATTAATGTAGAGAAAAATAACTGATGGTACTGTAGACAGAGTTGATATTAGAGCTATCCTTAAAAGATTCTGGTTCAGAAATGCTGATGTCATGTTAGACTCAGACTGGGACACATTCAACATGCTGGCGAGCACAAAAAAATGCACCTTTGGAGATCATGAATTAAAAAAAAATCAATCAGTATTCAAAGGGATTTAAATAAAAACATTTCTAATGCACAAATGAATAACATAAAAAAAATAATAAATAAAACATCTAAAATTCAGAGAAAGACAGTGTTCCTGTAAACAGCTATCCTAACCAGCTTTGCATTTGATCTGGGTTTTTATTACTTTGGAAGACAAGGTCTGGCCTCAATTAATGGTCACATGATGTATTACAGCGTCATATGCTAATAAAAGATCTAAGCCTTATTGTAAGTCATAGCATATAGTTGTCTCAATAAAATCTGCTGAAGAACACAATGGAGTGCTTCTTGGTGGAGTAAAGGGAGAGTGTTTAGCTACCTAAATGACTGGGCTATGGTTAGCAATTATAGTGACCAGCAAGGCCAGGACAAGCTTTAAGATCTCTATAAGCTTTAAGGCTGAAACTGATAGCAGCTCTATGAAACAGGTAAATATAAATGTAAACTAGTAAAAATTAGACCTGAAATAATGTTTAAACGTCTACAAATTGGATATACAAAAATTACAGACTGAGGTGTTAGGAAACCAGTTTGTGTGGGTTGTTGTGTTTGTGTTTTTCTCTCCCTCCACGACCCTGTTCTCGTTGGTCCTCTCACACACCTGCGGCTGGTTGGCTCATCACTGAGGACTATTTGAGCGTTGGACTGTCACTACCTCGGCGCCAGAGTGTTTGCCAGTTTTGGGTACTCTAGCGAAGCTGAGTTTAGCTGAGGCTAACTGAGTCTTTGTTTCATTGAGCCTAACCTGGTTTTTGTCTTTGCCTTTTCGGCAGGAAGCTATCCTGCAAGCTGGATGTTTGGCCTGCTCAGTCTAACACGTAATCCCCTGCTCAGTGTGACACTGAGCAGGGGATTAACCTCCACAAGTTCTGTCAAGTCCTCCTGGATTTCCAAATGACAACCCGCTCTATAGCTCCTCAGGATCCAACCAAATCTAAACCTGTCCGGACTCCAACAAGTCTCTACCTCTGGATAAAACCCACACTGACTGGAAGAAAGGTTTTCTCCACTAACGTGAGTCCTGTTTTTTCTGTCTCTCCAAGTCATCGTTCAAAGTCCCCACGGATCCTGAACTAACCGCTGATACTTCCCTTCCCACTTACAGTTCTGGTTCACCAGTTCACTGAGTTTCCTGAATCCACCCCCGCTGACCTTATCAATAAACCTGTTGAAACTTTTACCCTGGTTCTCTGAGTGATTTACTGCTTGTGGGTCAGATCTCCTAAGAAAATCATGACAGAATACTCTGGCCAAACCGTTGACCCAGCAGGAGCCATTCAGAGAGCACTTTGCCTTCAACAAACTGTAATCCAGAAACATCACAACCATCTCCACGATCAGCAGCCAACTTTCAGAGCTAAACAGTCGAGTGGCTCATTTAACCGAGGCTGTCCAATTTCCTCTCCAGGCTTCGGGCCAACCCCGGGGTGCTAGCCCCGCCTCAAACTAACCAAACAGCTTCTCCTCCCTCTTTTTCAGAGAGTCAGCTGCCCAGTCCTCCCAGGTTCGATGGAAACCCCAAGAAGTGCTGGGGTTTTCTCATGCAGTGTACCATACAGTTCAACCATGCCCTAAGAAAGTTCCCTTTGGATTAAAATAAGATTTCTTATGTGATTTCACATCTAACTGATCAAGCTCTTGATTGGGCCTAGGTCAGATTTTCCTCATCCCCCCGTTCATGACTGCACTTTTGAGGAATTCATTACCGAATTCAAGCAAACCTTTAACCAGGATCCGGATAAGACACTGAACTCCTGTGAAATTCTTAAAGTAAAACAGGGACAGAGGTCTGTATCCAATTTTGCCATTGACTTCTGCATTCTGGCTGCAGCTTCGGGCTGGGATAAAACAGCCCTGATGTGTGTTTACTCTAACGCTCTTAATGACTCCATTAAATATGAGCTAGCCACCCTCGATGAAACTGAAACTCTGGAGGATTTAATCAAGCTGTCAATCTGTTTGGACAATCGGATCTGAGCTCAAACTAAGAAAAGAGATACCAAGGCTTCTCCTTCCAAACCTTTTCCTCCACGCACTCTTCCTACTGAGCTTCCTACTATCTCTCCTCCGCCTGAACCCATGCTGTTAGGCAGCATGAGGCTAAGCTCTGAGCAGAAACAACACCGCATGCAGGCTTTATTGTGGAGAGGCTGTTCATTTTTTCTCTTCGTGTCCCCTGTTGGTAAAACTCAGGGTCCACCAGTAGATATGAGAGTACTAGCCGACCAGAAAATTTCTCCCTCTTCACCTCGTCTTGTTTTGCCCGCTACTCTGCTAATTAACAATAAGTATCTCTCCCTTTCAGCTCTCATTGACTCTGGTTGTGAACAAAATTTAATTGACTCTTCCTTCATTCAGAAGATGGGTATTAAGATTATCCCTCTTCAGAACCCTCTTTGAATTTTTGCTCTGGACGGTAGAAACCTGCCCCAGATTACCCACCAGATACGCCCTATTCTGCTGACCATTTCAGGAAATCATACGGAATACATCTCCTTCTGTCATGATGGGTCTCTGAGTTTAAACCCACATGCAGAACACCACAGGAAACGGAGTAAAAGTTTAACAGTTTATTAAGAGAAGCACACAGAGTTATGGGTGAACAGGTTCTGGTACTGGTCCGGGACTGGAATCTCAGAGTACCTGCAGAGATGAGTAGTTTGGTTAGCCAGGCAGCGATGATTTGTCAAGGGTTTGATTCTGGTTTGTACCTTGATGAGGTTCAGACTGATCGATGGAGAGAGGGAACCGGTTGGGTCCAGAGACTGAGGTTTCAGCAGAGAGCTCAGCAGCAGCTGCAGCGTCTAGCTTCAGGCTAGGGAGGTTCAAACCTTGAGTTGGTTTCCTAGTCCTCCCTTGAGAACTAACTGGGGAATTCAGACTGAGAGTCTTCAGGTTTGGCTTCCTTGGGCAGGCAGGCAGGTTTCCAAGCGCAAGCTCTTCCAGAGCTACAGACTTCAGTCAGGCTTTCCTGTGAGCAGAGAAGACAGAGGCTGGTTAGAATCTGGTTACTCTCTAGAGCAGACAGAGATTCTAAACGTTAACAGAGGCTCAGGTTCCGCTAACCAAAACTGGTCAACACTTCGGCGCCGAAGACAGGTCTGGCTGCTGCTTATGTAGGAGGTCTCCTGATGGGCTGATGATCTTCAGGTGTGCTGGAGGCTCCCAGCCCGGGAGACCCACAGCGCTCTCTGCTGGAGACAGGTGGCAGATCTCCAGATCCCAACACCTTCAACGTTTTTCCCACCGCTAACTCTACTTTGATCTTAGGATTTGAGTGGCTCCATCTTCATAACCCCACTATTAATTGGACAAACAGACATATTGATTCTTGGTCTGTAAACTGTCACTCTCGTTGTCTCCGATCAGCTGTGCCCCAGGCTTCCAACCGTCTGAGTCTGGTGAGGCAGACCAACCTGATCTCTCCTCCGTTCCTGCTGACTACCAAGACCTACTTCAGGTATTTAGCAAAACTAAGGCCTTTTCTCTGCCTTACCAAAGACCATATGACTGTGCTATTGACCTGCTTCCTGGAGCCCCTCTGCCCAGCAGTTGTCTGTTCAATATCTCCAAGCCAGAAAGGGAATCTATGGAGAAATACATTAAGGAGTCCCTGGCTGCAGGTATTATTCATCCTTCTTCATCATGTCTTGGAGCTGGATTTTTCTTTGTGGGAAAAAAGGATGGTTCCCTTAGACCCTGTATTGACTACAGTGGCTTAAACCAAATTACAGTCAAGAACAAACATCCTTCGCCCCTTTTGTCATCAGCTTTTGAGCCTGTTCAAGGAGCTACTGTCTTCACCAAACTGGATCTCAGAAGTGCCTATCATCTTCTTCGTATAAGGGAAGGAGACGAATGTAAAACCGCCTTCAAAACTCCCATAGGTCATTTTGAGTATCTGGTGATGCCTTTCGGCTTAACTAAAGCACCTGCTCGTTTCCAGGCCTTGGTTAATGATGTCCTTAGAAATTTTTTGAAAATTTTCGTTTTTGTTTACATTGATGATATCCTCATTTTTTCTAAGAACCTGTCCGAACACAGGATCCACGTCTGCCAAGTTTTACAGCGGCTCCGAGAGAACAAGCTTTTTGTCAAGGCTGAGAAATGTGAGTTCCATAGGCCTTCAGTCTCTTTCCTTGGCCTCATCCTAGAGGGCGGACAGGTAAGACCCACTGAGGAGAAAGTTAAAGTGGTCCAGGATTGGCCCACACCCAAGAACAGAAAACAGCTTCAAAGATTTCTGGGGTTTGCAAATTTCTATCGTGGATTCATTCGAAACTATTGCCAAACTGCTCTTCCCCTCACGTTTCTCACTTCCATTAAAGGCGTAATATGCAACATTTTTCAGTTAATTAATGTGTTCCATAACGTTTTGGATGATTAAATGAGTCATTTCAGGTCGAACAAAGGTTTTCTCGGCCGCCCTGGTGGTCTGTAGGGGAAATACCGCACTTGCAATTGCAGGAGCCCTCGGCCCGCACCCACAGGCTCAGAAGTCTCGTGCATTGCAAGAGTCAGTCTTGCTTTACGACGAGAATTTGGCTAACTACAATCTTTGTTATTTAGACACATGCATAACAAATAATGTATGAAAACAAAACAACAAAATAGTCACTTACCGCAGTAGACATGGTGATTCGTTGCGTTCGCCTCTCTGCTTAGCTCAAAACAACCGCGCCTGGCTTGACGGAGAAACCAGGAGAATAGCTGGGCATATTTACGACAGTGCACTTTTACTTTCGCCCTCTGGGGGGAGCCTCGCTGGAAAATCAACACCGGTTGCATAGTATACCTTTAAGGTCCCTTTCGTTTGGTCCCCTGAGGCTGAGGCAGCCTTTGTTCGTCTCAAGCACCCTTTTGCCAATGCTCCTCTTGTCATTCAGCCTGATAACACCAAGCAGTTTGTGGTGGAGGTTCACGCCTCTGATTCAG